TACGGCTCGGCGGGAACTTGGGCAAGCTCGAGAGCAGGTCAAGTAGTTCCTTGGCGTCCTTCGAGCTGCTTCGCGAGTTGCCCCGGTGCATCACCACCTGGAGCTTCTCGCAGACGCTGCTGACCGCGTCCGACGACCACGACACGCTCGTTGTCTTTGTGTTGGTGGCAGCGGAAATGCCGTAAGATACTTCCGGCAATTATCCGGAATGCTGTATTTGACCAAAGGGACAGAAGATCGCATGAGAAGATCGCAAACCAATTTCAAGACGCGATGATTTGGATTACGAATCTGAGACCACTCGTCATTGCACAAATTGTAGTCGAACGAGGCTATGGCCGTAGAGGATCAAACGGAGCTAGTGCTCTACTACTGCGCTATAGGAATGGGCGAGTGCAAGGTAGCCTGCGTTCACGCTGTGACGTTTTGCAGCAGAGATGCAGAGAGAAAGAACATCGGATGTGTGGCGAATGCGTCAAGGTTTGTGATGGCGTCAACGATTGCTCCTTGCCTCTTGCCAGGGTTGCATTATCGAAGGTGCGTGTCGGCGACGGTGGGTCACGCTTCCAACTGCGCCCTTCTTAGCCCGTACTCACACCCAGTTTTCTAGGGCTTGAGGCGCAGTCAATGGACCTGCCGTTGGTATAGAGCGAGCATTCTAACAAGGCATTGGCGTCAAAGCCACCGGCAGCGGTCCCATGATCTACAGCATGGTACTAGTAAATACCTAATGACAGCGCCAACGAGGCAGCCACCGGCGCCGATGATGGCCATCGATGTCACCGAGTAGCCCGAGGCTGCATTTGTTGAGGCAGCTCTGCTTTCTTGGGTCGTCGCTTCCGTCAACGAACCATCTGTCAAGCCCGTGGGCCTCGACGACAAGGTGCCGTTGGGGTCGCAGATGGAGTCGTCCGTCGCAAATCCTTTGACACATTCCGATCTGCCCATGCACGTTTCAATATGTACACTACTACGTCTCGTTCGAGTTCTCGCTTCGTCTCCCGCGTGGCCTCATCATTTCCGCCAAGCCTCACGACGCGGCAGTGCCTGGTGTCGTGGCGTAGCCGAATGTATGGGAAGGATCGAAGTACCGGTAGGTGAGCCGTCCGGCTGCCACGTCACCAGATCTCCTCCAACTGTGTATCCCTGGCCTTGTCACCACATCCACACGCATCGCCTCAGAAAACACAAGGTCATGCACCAAACCTCTGGCATGTTTGATCGGATGGAGAGATACTACTAAAACTGCTAGTGCGGATGCGCGCGTGAGTGATGGTACAGTACGATAACGGTCCTGGATGCAAGAATGAGAAAGAAGACGGCAAAAGAAGGTGCGGTACATCGGTTGGAGCTTCAGACACGGCGTCGGCGCTCGACGTTCGTTGCAAGGCCAACGAGGTGCCAAATGAGATCTCCACGGTGGTGTCAACACTCGCGGGCAAAGTGCGACGACGGTTACTTCAACTTGAGGTGCGGATATTTGGATCTGCCATTGCCAATCAGAAACCGCTCGTCATTGCACCAATCATTAGCGTTCAAATCCGATCTTTTAGTAAATAACCGCCAAGCCGAACCGTCGTCCGATAGCTGTAGAGATTGATATCGAGCTCGTACCCTTCTACTGCGCGGCGTCAATGCGTGCGTGCAGGGAGTCTGTCGGTGGCTTGTGCTGCATCATTCGTGGCGTTTCGCAGCAGAGATGTTGAGAAAGAACACTGGGTGACGTCATCCATTCCTCCTTGCCATGCCAGGCTACTCGGGTTGCAGTGACCAAGGCGCGTGTCAACGGCGGTGGGTCGTGCTTGCTTTGATGAGCCATCTTCGGAGACTTGATGCAGTATATTCGAGGGCATTGTAGAGCTGTAGCTCTCATCCCAACCAGGCCTTAACTGCGGTCCCGTGAATCCAGTGTGCATCGAACAAGGCGATCAGTTGTCGTGGATGATGATATGACGACGGCTCCCTTGCAGCCTCGGGAAGCACGAACCAAGTCGATACGATGGTACCCTGAACAGGTCCCGTGCGGGGTGAGCTGGTAGGAACTTTTGAATGCGAAGCGTTGTTTACCGGTCTTTGCGACGACGGCGCGTCGCTTCCTGCAGTCCTGGCGCGCTTTCACTTTCGCACCTAATCGAAAAGTTGCGTCAATTGCAGTCAAATGCACCGTCGTACTTTATCGATTTTTTACGTTATTCAACTATAACGTCCGACGATGTGAAAGCACTTATAGGGATTTCGGTTTCGCACTTCACAGGACACATTTGGCGCAATATGATTTGCTTAGACCAATAAAACTGCGTTTCATTAGTCAAAATGGCTTGATATATAGCCAATGGGTTGGCCAGAATGCACGAATTAATCCCAGGATCATGATACCCCTTGCTCTAGCACTTGAGTAATCTTCGGTCCCTCCATGTTGGTGGCGCTGCATCGATGCAGGCGTGGGAATAGTGGTGCGGTTCATCCCTATATGCGTACTAGTGCATTTGATCGCATCGTTGGGACCTCGTCGACGCCTTAACGATGACGTAGAGAGTGTACTATTCTTTTCAACAAATTATTTCTCTACTTTGTCTTGTCGCGACCAAAGTTGGACCGGGCGAGCCACTTCATTTTTGGTTTTGCCACCCAGCCGCGCCTGCCTTTGACTTGCTGCTTCCGGTCTTGCTCTTGCGCGCGCTCCTGCTCGTCGTCGCGCGCATGCTGACGCTTTAGATCCCCAACCTTCGTGCCCTTGGGGACATCGCGGCCAAATGGCCAGCACCAACCGAGTCGCACATCGCGGCCAAAAGGCCAGCTCCGACCTGCTGCCGGCCATGCTCTCGACCGTTCTTTTTGTCGTGGCCCAACTCGCGGTCGTGCGCCTGGTTGCGCCCCTTCTCGTGGCGGTGCGCATCATCGTGTGCTTGGTGACGTTTATGAGCCCCGTCCTTTTTATTCTTGGACGGTTCGCGTCCAAGGTCTACCATGCTACAGGCCTTTGACTTCTCCTTGGCGACATGGACACGTCGGACGACATCGCCCTGGCCGCCCTCTTTCGCATCTACTCGTCCGTCTAGGATTAGATCGATTTCATCCTTTAATTCTTAATCGAGAGTCTCCTTTACCCTGCACTTGCACATTGAACTATTACTATCTTGTTGCGGTTTGGATGGCCGCCAAACGATAAGGCTACGCTACATTTTACTTCCTTCCTTCTGCTGTGGAGTCTCGAATCCGACGGCTCGAGCATGTGTGTCGTTGGTTCGACAGTCGATTGTGGCGTATCTTGGTGCTTGACAGAGCCCAACGCTTGCATGAACAACTCAGAAAGAAGATTGCACGAAGCGTAGCATAGCCATTATGGTGGATGTATTGATGGGCGTAATATCAACGATCTGCGGACTCTCGCCGGCTTAGACCGCGCTGTAGACGTTCTGCGGTGCTTGCTGCCGTGACACAAAGTACCCAATGACAGCGCCAACGAGGCAGCCACCGGCGCCGACGATCGCCATCGACGTCACTGAATAGCCCGAGGCTGTCGTTGTTGAGGGAACACTGCTACTCTGGGTCGTCGCTTCCGTCAACGAACCATTTCTCAAGCCCGTGGGCCACGACAAGGTGATGTTGGGGCCGCAGATGGAGTCGTCCGTCGCAAATGCCGTCATGTTCAAGAACGCGTCGATAGGGCAGAGCTCCGACGTGCAGTGGGGCACAGGCAGCGGCTTGCCGAGGTACGTGAGGCGGAAGAAGAAGCTGCCACCGTCGCGCGCATACAGCTCCAGCGTCACGTGGCTCGCGTACGGAACCCACTCGGTGAGGTAGACGTCGCCACCGAGCGCGGCCAGCAGCGGCATCAAGGTCGAGTCGTGCACTACGAGAACCCCACATGGAGCTCATTCTATCCTCAAGTGGACCCATCCACACGTACCAGCCGAGAGCACAAAACGCGGCCCGCGGCCCGCCAGTGCAGCCTCCAGACGAGCGCGAATGAGCGCCACGAACTGCGCACTGCCCGTCTTGGCGTAAATGTTGTTCTTGTAAAAGTACGGGAGGAGCGCGGTCGTCTCGGCGCGGGTGGCGGCCTGCTGAAAGAAGGTGCTGTTCATGTTGCCTGGCAGCGGCTTGTCAGTGCAGCGCTGCGTGAGGAGACAGTCAAAGCCGAGGTCGTCGTTGAAGCCTGGAATCGTCGCCTGCAGCTGCGCCCGAATCGCCTTGTTGGTGCGGTTGTTGCTCCACGCAGCGGACTCGGGCGACGCCGCCCACGCCTTGCTCAGCGCGGTGAGCGCCGGACACGTGGTCGGGTTCGGGAACCAGTGCGAGACGGCCATGTCGCTTGTGTGCCACGGTACAACGACGCGCTCGCTTGTTGCAAACATGTTTTGTACGATGATCTAGACAGGCCAAGTATGAGGCGCAAGGTCGCCAACGCATGCGACAACGGACCTGGCCCGACCCGAGCGTGCGGTCGAGGTCGGTGCTTTCAAAGTAGACATCTACACAGCGGCAATGCACATGGGCAACGCCAATGGCGGCGACATCTACCTGCCGTGTTGGTGAGGTCGATGGCTTCGTCGTCTTGGAAGAGCACAAGCGGGCCCTTGCCCACGTACGCGTGGCGAAAGAGCGCGCCGTTCTGCTGCTGCTGCGTGTAGCCTTCGTCGATGAGCTGCCCGAGGAGGCAGTTGCCGCGGAAGACGTTGGCGCCGTCGACGTAGATCTTGTCAAAGGTCAACGACGATGATGGCGTGCTGCCCGGTGCATGTAAGACAGGCGTCACTTGGTCGCGGAGGTTGCAGGTCCACGTCTCCTTGTAGCCGGTCCAGCACTTGGCGCCGCTGTACGGCGTGCGTGCTCCGTGGCGCACCATGACCTGCACGTGTACCGAGCTTCATGCTCGACGCCTGCGGGTCGGCCACTGGCTGGATCGCAAACTTGGGACACGTCCTTGGCGCAGTAGCGCGGGTAGCCGGATGCATCGATGGCAAAGCCAGCGGCGGCGGCGACGGTCAAGGCGGCGGTGAGCGCACGGGGCACGAGGAGCATGGCGGCGAGGTGGGCAATCGCCAAATGTCACTAGCTACCGTCGCTGTGGTGTTCCAAGCTTGCACTGTAGGATTCAGTCCTTCGGCGCTGATCCGGACCGCGATGATCGCAACACGCACAAAATGATTTTACGATAGATTTGTGTCGACATAAATGCATTGATACCATACGAAACCCGCGTAAGCGTCGTTGGCAATTGCGACCCAAGTCAATATTATCCGGATGCCTCGCAGTTGAAGTCACTTGAGCAGTGTGCACTGCGCAACCGGTAGTCCGTAGTATCGAGTGATACAAGGATCTACTTCGTCGTGTCCAGCGAGGCCTGGGTGACCATGAGGAGGGCTTGCATTGGTCTCGATGAGGAACACATTCAATGACATACAATCCAGTCCTACGCCAATGGGTGGGTGCACTTCCGCACCCAAGATTTCGCAAGATGGCGTCCGTAGCAACTGTAGCACATTGCATCTATAGACGATATTGTACAAACATCGTGCACTACGAGGCGTCGTTGCGCGCACTGGACACGCGCATCTCCTCCGACAGCCAGCGCTCGCTCCCTCATCTTTCGGCGCCGTGACGCTGCAGTGATGGTTGAGGCTTGACGCGTTCAAGAGATGCATCCGGCTACCTTGTCGTACAGCGAACGTTTCGAGGACCACCAGGGTGAAGCGGACTCGACGCACGACGCGGCTGCGTTATAGCAACAACCTCGGCGCTAAACTTGGCTGTATTCGCGGTAGATCGTCAGGAGTCTTTCGTCGTCGATCGATGATGGACTCTGATGTTCCGACGTTTCGGCGCCACGTTGAAGAGCACGGGCAGTGCGCCACGCAATCCACGCAGATGAGTGGTAGATATCCTAGGATTTCAATGGCTTTTTATCCAATCCAGCACCTTCCACGACCTTTGCATGCACTTCAAGTTGGGCGGGGATTGGCCATAATGCGAGGAGTCGCGTTGCTGATTGGTCGAAATCCTCGTGTCAGATCGAGGCAAAGCCCAATTCGGCTCTGTCGCAGCTGTGCGGATGACCGAGCCCGACTGCAAGACGCTCTGGATGGGCGACGTCCAGATCAACTGGGACGAAGCCTATGTGAGCTCGCTCTTTGATGCCTTCGGTACGATGCCACGCGACTATTGTGCGCTCATTGCGACCTAGGCCACCTCCCAACCGTCAAGCTCATCCGCGACAAGGTCACGGGCTATCCCGCCGGGTACGGCTTCCTCGAGTTTGACTCGCCGGAAGCAGCGAGCGAGGTCTTGTCAACACTCAATGGACAACCTATTCGTACGCAAGCCTCGACAACGAAGGCGTCTCACTGCTTGTCTTTGTAGCCAACACACCGCACCGTTTTCGGCTCAATTGGGGCGCCGGCGGGAAGCGGCTCGAGTCCATGGAAGACCACTCGGTCTTTGTGGGCGACCTCGCCGGCGACGTCACGGACGACGTGCTTTTTTCGACCTTCTCGGCCAAGTACGCGTCCGTACGCGGCGCCAAGGTCGTGCTCGACCAAATGAGCCGCATTTCCAAAGGCTTTGGCTTTGTGCGCTTTGGCGTCAAGGCCGAGGCCGACCAGGTACACTCCTCTATGCATCTTTTGCGGCCATCATCTCTGACGGGATCGCTAGGCTCTGCAGCAGATGCACGGCGAACTGTGCCTCAAGAGGCCGATGCGTGTGAGCGCCGCGACCGACCGCCCCAAGCACCACCCGCCGACAACGCCGTCCAAGCCGCCGCCGTCGCCGTCGCCCGAAGACGAGACCAACACGACTGTGTTTGTCGGCGGCCTCGACGCGAGCATAACTGAAGACGACCTGCGCAAGCAGTTTAGCTCCATTGGCTCTGTCCGTTTTCAAGTTGTACACAAGACGGAGAGGCTCATGGCCACGTAGGTGCTCAGCATCAAGATCCCGCTGGGACGCGGCTGCGGCTTTGTACAGTACTCGACGCGCGCGCTGGCCGAGCAGGCGATCCAAGAAATGTCAGGTCCGTAGAATCGTTTCGCTCACGATTGATGGTGGTGATGACGCTACCTCGTAGGTGTGCAGCTTGGCGCGTCCAAGCTGCGCTGTGCGTGGGGACGCCCGACGATCAATACGAACCACAACAGCAGCAATAGCAGCAGCAGCAGCCGTGCACCGGTGTACCCGTACCCGCCGTCGGCGATGCCCATCTATGGCTATCCGCCGTACCAGGTACTAGTACTGTAGAGAGCCGTTTGGAGCCGTCCGCTCAAGAACGATATGTAGTACTATGCGGGGCCGTACCCCGCGTACTCTGGCTACACCAGTCCGGTGTATGCAGGCTACCCGCTGCCAGGCTACATGCACCCGTACGGTCAGATTCCGCTGCCGACCGACGACAACCAAGCGCCGCCGCCGATGATGTAGGCGATAGCTGGCGCCACAGAGCGTCGTCGCGATCGAAGCGACCTCGCCGTCCATGTTCAACCTTATATACATAGCTTTGTGTCGTGTGGATGTGT